CTGCGGGTGCCGAGGGGGACCGGGCCCGCCTCTGCCCCGCGGCACGAGCCGAAACTCGGGAAATTCCCCTGGAGCACAAAACGCTTCTTCTCTGGCCGGGCGGGTTTTGAGCATCTCCAAGGAGGGAGATGCCGCAGCCTGCCCCCGCGGCCCCGACCTGAGCAGGGGGGAGCCGGGCTGTGTTTACATCCCGGCAGGTGTAACGTTTCCTCTCAAGAGGTAACAGCGCGTGTGGTTTTCCTGAAGGAACCCCCACCTCAAAACGGCAGTTCCTGAAAGCGCTCTCGGCGCTGCACGGGTGAACAGGAGAGGAGGACGGGGGGGTTATCTGACCCCCTAGTTCTGCCACGCCTCTGCAGATAACTGCTCCCAACGCGTTCCTAATGTCCAAGCCAAGCGTTTCCCGTTGCCATCTCGTTCTGTTTGATTTTTGTCTTGTCCAGCACAAGTGGTACCGATTCTTTAATGTTTAACAAACACACGGTGTTTTACGTAGTAGTGCAGACATCGATAGGAAATTTGAGGTGCGACCCCTGTGCGTGGATGATCTCCTTTAATTATCCCAGGGTCTGCTCTTTGGGATTTCTGTGATCCCGTATTGCAACGCGTCTCTAGGCTTTGGAAACAAACTGTTTTGTTCCTAGAATGAGGCTCGCAAGCTCAATCACCAAGAAGTGGTGGAAGAAGATAAAAGACTTAAGTTACCAGCAAACTGGGAAGCAAAAAAAGCTCGACTGGAATGGGAACTGAAGGTGCAGGAAAAGAAGAAGGTAAGCAAGCACGGTTATGTCTTCCTCTAACCCTGTTGAACCTCAGTACAGCTACTCGTGAAGCTGAATCGGTCTGCAGAGTAGCTATAGATTTTTGAGAGCTTGCACGTAGCTACTGCAAAAAAATTATCCTAATTAGACTCGAGCATGTTACATACGTATAAATCTGCGACCTGCAGAAGAGGTTGACTGGACTGACTGGTGATCTAGAGAACTATAAACAGACTTGTGACTTTTCTCTAGTCTACCAAGTTTGGTCCTTGGACACCATCCTCTTATTAAAACAGTACTTGTGCTGCATTAGGAATGTGCTGCAAAAGGAGAAGACTATGAGAGAGTTAAACTACTAGAGATCAGTGCTGAGGATGCAGAAAGATGGGAAAGGAAAAAGAAGAGGAAAAATCCAGACCTAGGATTTTCAGGTAACGATTTAGTATTTCACCTACAACTGAATCATGAAATAAAAGCAACCCCTTAATGGTAACTCACTTTCTTCTAAAGATTATGCAGCCGCGCAGTTGCGCCAGTACCAGAGGTTAACCAGGCAGATCAAACCTGACTTGGAGCAATATGAGAAGCTGAAAGAGCAGTAGTAAGTTTGATTTCAGTCATCTTCGTAATACCTAAATAACTGGAAAATTCAGGATTTCCCAAATGCTTAAAACTCCTGTCAGCAGATATACTCAGTGTGTATTTTCAAATGCACTGCACTGTAATTAGCCTTTTAACATGATCTTAAAAGGCACGCAGTCTACCTGACAATCCATTCAGTACAATCCTTGTTTCATTAGGTATAAAATTGGTATTGTTGAACAGATGCCCGTGTATTTTCTTCAAAAAATCAGTAATACTGAGTTTGAAGCGGTATTTTGTCAATTATACTATATTTAAATATGTAAGTAGATTATACTCCAGTTGCTTGAAAAAATTTTTTCAGCAGTCTGCAGTCATTTAAAACAACAGATTGACCAACAGATTAGAACTTTCCAAAGAAATTATAAGCATTTAATGTAAACACTCATTTCTGTCTTCGGGGGGGGGGGGGTTATAGTCTCAAAGTAACTAGCAGAGGGTTTGTTTGTATCAAAATATTATCTCACATGCATCTTGGACTCCTATAGTTACACAAATGAGCTAAATGCCTTGACTATTAAAAGATCAAACAAAATCAGCCAAGTCTTAACCAGTTCAATACTATTATTGTAAACTGCTGCTCCTTTGTTCCTCTTGCCCAGTGGGGAAGCACTTTACCCAACATCAGACAGTCTTCTTCATGGAAGTCATGTGCCAGCTAAAGAAGGGATTGATAGAATGGTCGCAGATCTTGAAAAACAGTAAGTAAATCGTAAGATTTAAGGAAAGGAAGCTTTGGAGGCCACCTCCTTCTCAAAGCAGGGCTAACTTCTTGACCTTTCCCTAGCTTAAGGGTACATTTGACGGTGTTATCAACCCCTTCACCCAATTTGATGGGCAACTGATTTTCTTTAGAAAGATGGTGCTGGAAAACCACCACCCTCTTTGGGGTTTTTTTGGTTTCTCTTCAGTACAAGTAAAAAGGTAAAAGCCAAAAGAAAAAAAAAAAAAAAAAAGGAAAAGACCTGAACTAAAGCTGGACTGTCTCGTCTTCATTGTCACGGTATTTTAAAACAGTGACTGTGCTTTTATAATTTTACTCAGCATCATAGAATCAATATGGCCAAAGAAAATTAGGAATAATTATATATATTCCACAATACATATGCTTCCACTACTTTAAAGTGCACTTTGTGGAACTAATATAGCTATTATAAATAGTGATCATCACTTCCTTTCTCCAATTTTCTTACCAATTATCAGGCTACAGCATTCTAGTATTTATCACTTAAACGTAGCACTTCTGCTGCTATTTCATCCATAAAAGAATTGCCTAAATTGCAAATGTTTATGTTAACCACTACTACTCAAGTCTGCAGGATTCATCTACAGGTCTTCAAACACTAGCATTTGTCTTACAGAATTGAAAAACGTGAAAAATACAGTCGAAGACGTCCTTACAACGACGATGCAGATATCGACTACATTAACGAGAGAAATGCCAAGTTCAATAAGAAGGCAGAGAGGTTCTATGGGAAGTACACAGCAGAGATTAAGCAGAACTTGGAGAGAGGAACAGCAGTCTGAACTGCCATCTCCAGTGAAGTGTATGATACTGCAGCCCTTATGTCTATTAGAAAAGTTTGGTATGAAGACATTAAGTTGTATCAGAAAAAAACTCTACTTTGTAGATGTCCTCATATTATGTAATGTAAAATCTACTGTAGTACAACATGTGTAAATGCTTCAATGTAACAACCTCAGCTGTATATAGCTTTTAATTGCAGAAGTGGCCAGCTCTTCCACTATCTTGCTTTAAATAAAGACAAAGAATAAACAAACTCTGACCCCTCGGTTTACAGTCCCTACTTTTCAGTAGCTGAAGAGGAGCAGTATCCCTTAAAACACCTCTTTAGCACCAGGATAAGAGTGCTTCAGGCATGTATGTCACCTTTTTGTGAAAGAGAAGGTACACAAAGCTCTGATGTGCTTCAGCTTGGAATTCTGCCACCAGCAGTACCTGTATGGGGCAGGTGGCCCTGCTACTGGGGCAACAAAATACCTTTCCCCACCTCAGCAGGGAAGGGATATGCTGCAGAAAACATAACCCTTGATTAGGTTTGGCACTGTGGTCTTAGTAATTCTGCAGAAGATTCCAAGTTTTTGAGGTAGCTGCAACAACTCCCATTCTACACACAGACACTAACTACTCCGCATTCACACTTCATGAAAAATAGAAGCAGGTAAGCAACTAACATAGTCCTTCACTGATTTTGCTTGAATGAAAGTAGGGAAATTTCTATCCCTTTTCAGGAAAGAAGGGACTTCTTCCTTACAAGAGGAAAACTATGATGTTCAGCTGTCTGCAAAACCATGCAAGTTCTAGGCCTAGCTCTACAACAGCACATGTTTAGAGAGAGTAAGAGCAGGCTTACAGCTGTACCTAAGACTTGTAACTCTTCTACTTCACACCAAGTTCATACCCAGACACGCTTTTGCACACAAGCGGCAAGCTGATCCATCAAGACGAACAATCAGCAGAATGTCAAGTTGTGACACACAACAGGGGAGAGGTGACCAGACACATCCTCCTAAAAAGGTATTACTCGTTCTTCTGGACAGAGCCCCTTCCTCCCCCAAAATACAGAACAGCTACCATCCCCTTCATATATGCACTTCTCTTTACTGCCCAGAAGAGCTAGAGTGTATGGACTACTCAGTGCCCTACATCTTAACACAGCTATTTAAATACAATTTCTTAAAGAAGCTTCCACATTGGAGTAGTCAAGTTTAGTGTACTAGCCATTTATTTACTTTTTTTTTTTTTTTTTTTACACGAGATTAAGTTTAACTGATTACTCCCCAAAACCCTCACAGAAGATTATGCAATAACCCATTTACTTGACTGCATACTTTTCTTCATAGAGATAAGGTCTTGGTGCAGCATGGAGGCAAGCGCATGATACTGCTGAATTCTGAAGCTTCTCAACAGTAACATGGCCCTGTCCTAGTACTAAACTTACATAGCTGATTTAATGTAGCCACTCCAGCTAACCTTATGAAGTACGTGCTTCCTGCTTTACATAATGTGCTTTTAAAGGTTGTTTTAAAGCAGCCTAACTCAAAATAACAAGCCTGCATTAGCTCACATTTAAGATTAGAAGTCAGTAGAGGTGACAGTTCCTCAGGTGCAGCACTTTTCAACAGATGGAATGAATGATCGAGACTTCACATAGAGCAGTCACATATATGACAAAGCCTTCTGCAAGCGGGAAGTTTATTTAGGGCAGTTACTCTAGAGCCCCTGAAGTAGCCACAGCCTAGACAGCTACTTTCTATTTTCTGTAAAGCTCCACTTCCAAGACGGTGCAAAAATTAAGTTCTGTTGGACTTTGTCTTAATAGTATGGTGACTACCTGACAGCTGAAACTGTAAACACTCACCTATTCAAGACTCCGAACTATGAACAGGATATGTGAACTTACTACCGCAAACAGGTCTGATACTTGACACATTGAGAAGCCAGTGCAAAACTAAAGTTTATTTACTTGAAGTGAACAGTTAAACAATAGAATTCAAGTGTTCAAAGTAACAGTTACTGAACTACTGTTTAGGAAAATTACCCACCTGAAAGTTCTAGTCCATTTAATCAATACAAAAATATTTACAAATTTACACAAGATTCCCACCTGTGGCTTCTGGGTCACTGTGCTCTACATCTGAAAGAGAAACCTAAGATTACAAAATTAAATCTCTCTAAATAAATACTCAGTATTAACAAGTCTTCAACCTGATCAGAAAACTTCAGACCTCGGTACTGAAGTGCATATAATCTGCAGTTTCTGAGAGACAGCAAGTAAAATATGCTAGCGTGCCCGGAACGGTGCACTCTTAGGTGAGAAGTTTAAAAACTTGTTCTCCTCCTTCTTGATAGGAACCCATTGCCCATAGGGACTTCCCTTTTTGTCAACTTCTCTTCCGGGAGAGATTGCCATCTCTTTAACAGCAGGACTTGCTGGCTTCTGTAGTACTGGTTTTGCCATTGTATTCTGGAAAATAAATTACCTTTAAAAATGCTAGAAAGAGAATGAGCGTACTAAGACCTGTCAACTCTTTTGTTTCAACAAGACAAATACTTTCTTTCCAGCTTACAGGAGACCTTACAACTACTAAGTATCAACTGTTTACCCTTAATTGACATAGGATTCAGGAAAGTTGCCCCTCCACGCCCATTCTATATTATTGAATTATGCATCCAGACACACAACTTCAAGTAAATTCTGGGACAGACAGGTTTTGGCAAACCCTCTCGAGTCTACAGTACAGACTCCCAACTTTATTGTTTACACCTCAACGCTTACTCACAGTCACAACCATTTTAACACATTGCCGTGGTACAGTATGCTTCTGCTTAAAGTACTGTTCTAGCTCTTCCAGGAAAATAATTATCAAGCCATTAAATCCAATATGTTACCACGATTAAGATCCTTAACTTGACATCCAATGCTGGAGAAAGCCTAATACAGGAGGGATGGAACACTAGACTCATCTTAGGAGAGCACACTTACATTAGGGCTGAAAGAAATGCTTCTCTGTGTGGTAGCTCTCTCCATTCCACTTTTGGGTACATCTTCTGTCAGTCTTCCCACTTGCTAGAGAAGAGCACACACAGCTTAAGTGGAAGGACACATTACTCTATGCAAGTTAAGGCAGTCAGAGAACACTAACTTTCCAGTAAGGTTGTTTCAGGTATTTACATCAAAACTAGCTGCGAGCTACCGAACATGTAAACAGATCAGCACTGAGCTCAACTTGAAACACTTAAGTGTTTTATTAACGTCATCGTGTCAATTCACATCGTAACCTGGCATCCATGCCCCAGTGACAGTTTTAAAGAGGATTCAAATTACTTAAGCATGGACTGCAGTATCATGAAATGTAGTGTTAAAGCAAGCTGCATTAAGTTCTGCACATCAATCCTGCAGAGCTTTGGATAACGACAACAAACTTATCTGCAAGTGATGCAGGCCTCTTCTTCTGTACTCTCTCAACATCTGGAATATATTGCATATATTATGAAAGGGATGCCTGTACCATTTCTTTGTCTAAGAAACCCTTAGACAATTTACTTCAATTTGACATAGCAGCATCTGACAGGTTTAACAGTTATTGCGATTCTGTATTCGGCATGAATCAAATTAACACATCATTATAACAGAGTGAAACTACAGTTCAGTTTTAACTACTCGACTTTTTCCCCTCCCTTAAGTTCACAGCAGCTATAGCCCACAAGTCCCTTAATTACCAACAGATTTTCTTCATCAATGTCTGGAACCATATTCATGATTTCTATAAGACAGAAATAAAGTATGTAAAATGTATTGTGTGCTTGGGTATGTAACTTCCGGGAACAGTTTGTTGCATATGAAAAGCTCTGAACAGTTAAAAAAGATTAACTTTTACAAAAACCTACTCAGTGGGTTTGGAAAGCAGATCCCTTGTTTTAGGTCAGAAACATATAGACTAGTCTAAGAAAGCAATTTTTAATATCCTCTTAGAAGAATAACTGCAAGGAATAAACTACTTTCAACTCTCTTTCCTAACTTATCGTTACTAAAGGCTGCATGTACTCAAGAGGTCAACCACTTCTAAGCTTCCAAGGTACTCTTCCAGCCTAAGCAAGTCTACAACGGTTTCTGACATTCTGGTAAATCTGAAGTTTTCTTTCAAGAGTTTGAATCCTCCATCATAAACTCCAACGCTAGAACTACAGCTTCTTCACGCAGAGCACAAATTATTTGTAAGTCTTTACCTTTTCATTGGGAATACTCCAGTTCATACTTACCTCAACTGACTCGCCAAGATCTTCATGCTCTAGCTCTTTGTTATTTGTCTCTTTGGAAGGAGTAATGACCTTCAAGCTCGCTGGCAAGACTATCTTATCTGTCCCCAGGGCTTTTGCAGCATTAGCTTTTGCAATTTCCAGAAGCTCCCTCTTCTCTACAAGAGGGAGAGAGCGTCATTTTCTTGCATTTAGATCAGTATGTAGCTACTCTTACTAGCCTAGGAACTGCAGGTATACTAACATTGCACTTTTCTAAGTATCAACTCTGAACGATTGTGATCAGAACTTGTAAAGTTTCGCTTCAGTTTAAGGGCTAAGAACATATTCCAAGCTACCTAGTTATAAAAATATATAAAAAACTATATATAACTATGTGGAGATTTCTTCCACGTTGCCGTTATCAGTTTTGTTCTATAAAGCACATCTAGAGATTAGAACTTGACCAGTTAGCATAAATAGTATATTGTTGAGTTTTCTCACATACAATGAAACTCTCACTAAAAAAGTACCTTTTTCACTCAAGTGCAGAGGTGATCTACTACGAGATCTCGTTCGTGACCTGCTTCTCCAGCTCCTGTAAGCCTCAGGATATACCGTTCGCCCAAATCCATAATATCTTCGGCCTCTTGAACGTGATCTGCTTCTTGAATAGGACCTTCTGTAACATGATCTTCCACGTGACCACGACCTGCTGCGTGATCTGTATCTTGGAGGAGAACGGTAGTACCGCCTGTAGTGTCTGGTACGGTACCTTCCTCGGTACCTCATGTAGCCACCACGTGATCTCGACCGGCTTCTGGAATATGATCGAGAATATCTTCCGTACCTTCGGCAACCATTTCTTCTAGCCCACGATCGTGATCTGGATCTAGACCGGCTCCAGCTCCTTGAGGAAGCTGAAGAGGAACTGCTTGAACTGGACTGTGAACTGTAAGACGATCTGCTAGATGACCTTGTTGATGACCTATCACAACTTCTTCTGGATCTCAGACAAGATTCTCTTTTCTTAGGAGAGCTGAGGGTTAAGTCATCCATGAAGTTTGTCATGTCATCGGTCTTTCTAACCTTCATTTTCTCCATGCAGGTACTGGAAGTTGGCTCTGTTTTTATTGGTATTCTACAAAAGCCAGTTTCTGTTCCTGTTCAGAAAGGGGGGCCGGGAACAGAAATGAGGCAGCCAGGTCATTTATACAGCAGCCACAGACAAACGTTATGACAACCACTGGCAAACAGTTTAAGAGTAATCAAACACAATGACAATTCTCACCCAGTTTATCAGCATGTTTTACCTATGACAATTTTAGGTTTCATCATTTCCTCTCCTACGGCCAAGAGTCTTCTATATGAAAGAAAAAACAACTTCAGTTTAAACCATGAGTAATTCTCTGGGGTACTCTGAGAAGTTTGTGTGGGTTTTTAGTTTAATACCCTTCATTCAGTGTAAGCATACTTTTATGAAAAGGGTATGAATTCAGATTTTCTTAACAGAACTTTCAAGGCTGGGCCAGACTATTCTAAATATAGTTTACTACCAAGGTATCTCAGCTGCAGAAGTCATATGTCTTCAAGGTTAGCATAAAATCAAGTTTATTCCTGCAATTCTGTAGAGATGAAGTAGCTACTTCAAACACAAAAATATACATATGTATCTATATATCTCCAAGTTAGAAAAGTACCACTTCAAGATCTTGACTATTACGTTACTAAGTTATCTCTGAACAGTACTCCACGCACACTTTATACAGTATGCATAGCAAGCCACTGTTACAAAAGCTACTCTACACAATTTGTGAGAGATACAGCTAATGCCTTATTGGAGATGATTTATTAAGAATGAAACACTACCTGAGGTGATATATTAATAAATGAAATGGCTGCCCTCCTTTACTGGCAGCCATTTTACATATACAAAGGTTACTGCATCCTAGTTGTGTAACTATCCTATCTCAAGTTCTTAGTTATGCCACCGCTTTACAGTTCAAGAAAGCCCACTTCACGATAAAAGTCGTATTTGGTGCTCACTGTAAACAAGAGTTACCCAACCAGTCTTACAGCCTTCTTATCAAGAGCACCAAACAGCTCTATAACCTTCCACAAGAAGTATTCCCCTCACTACTACTAGAAGCAAGTTTCACTACCTCACCTCTAAACAAGTGCAAAGCTCACAACCATTGCACAGAACGCATTCCACACAAAACAGTTATTAATTCTGAGCTAACTCCCCATAACATACTAAGCTACCTAAACAGTAATATTTTCAACACTCTAGAGTATTGGAGCGTATCACGGATATCCTCATACAACCGTTCTGCACCTGCCAAATTGTGAACGGGCACCGACGAGGTGTAAGCGCTGCCCTCCGCGCACCTCTCTGCATGAACGCTGCTGGGGGAATTCAAGGGGACTCGATTTCGCTCTGGCACTTACCGCTGGGGGCTGCCGGACATCCCAGGTGCCGGTTCCCTGGGGGAACCTGGGCGTTCCTGTTACAAAGAGAAAAATGTGGAGTCTGTTTGCCAGCCCCAGGGCTACCCTACACCCA